GAGAGGAGTTAAGGAAGCTATTTTTGTAAAAACAGAACACCCCTCATTAAATAGGGGTGGTGGACTAAGACACAACTTGTCTTCCATCTACGATCCTGTTTTGAGATCTCTGCCAAAACATGCCCACCAGGACAATAGGCATCGGTCCATAAGTGAGGATTCAAAGACAAGTAACGACACTCACCGATACTGCGCTATAACGACTCAGTCATTAGGGGACATTGTTGGGCACCACGGGACTGAACCACCACCAATGGCGATAAATATCTCAAACTCAACACTAGTCTGGCAGAATTGATGAAGCCTCTTGGATGAGAGGTGACACATCTTCGACCTAAAAACCTTTTTCTAAGTTTTTTCAACTCATCAGTTTTATTATTTTTTCAAAATAAACACTCACTTCAACTCTGATGCTGCAACACATTCCAACAAAAGTTGGGACAGTTGCATTTCAGGGCCAGCAATGAGATAAACAATAAAATGATGATTCCATTTGAAACTGGTGACTGCAATCATGATTTAGGAGCAAAGATGGGCCAAGGATCGTCAGTTTGCCAACATATGTATGAGAAAATCATTGAAATGTTTAAAAATAATGTTAATCAAAGCTGGATGACCGTGTTCTCCGATCCCTCATACAGCGCTGCAGCGAGAATTATCACTCTTCAATAAACGATATAGCCACATGGGTTCAGGATGACTTTGACACACCTGTGTCAGCCACTACAATACGTAGTTACATCCATAAATGCTGCTTAAAACTGTACTGTGCCAAAAGGAAGCGCTATGTCAACAGTGTTCAGAAGTTGACTGCTCTGAGCTCAGAGACATCTGGGATGGACCATCACACAGTGGAAATGTGGACTGGTCAGACCGATCAGTATTTCAGGCCTTTTTTTTTGGAAGGAATGGACATTGTGTGCTCTGGACCAAAGACAATAAGGACCATCCAGACTGTTACCACCAAACAAGTCCAAAACCAGGGTCTGTCATGGTCCAGGGTTGTGTCAGTGTCCGTGGCAAAGGTCACTTCCACTTCTGTGATGGATCCATTAAGGCTGACAAATACAGAGACGATGTAGCAACATATGCTGCCTCCAGGGACGCCCATGCGTATTTCAACAAGACAATGCAAAACCTATAGTGCACATTACCAAAGTCTGGCCATGGAGGAAAAGGGTGTGAGTGCTGGACTGGCCTCTCTGCAGTCCCCACCTGTCCCCAGTAGAGAAGGGCTGGTGCATTGTCAAACATAAATTGTATCAACGAAGACCCAGGACTGTTGTGCACCTTAAGACTTGTTTGCAGGAAGAATGGGACAAAATGACACCTGACATATTTAATCACTTGGTCACTAAATGTCTTAAGTTTTGTAAAAAGGAACGGCAACATCACACCATGGTAAATGCTTTACTGTCCTGACTTGTTTTTGGAATGTGTGTGTGCATCCGGATTGGAGTGTTTAAAAAATTAATTTGATGAGGTATCACATCAAATAATTTGCTGCTGTATTGTTTTCAATGTAATACAGGACAAAGGTGATTTACCCATCACTGTTTCCAACATTTTCTGATTTGGGGATCCACCTTATATACTTATACTGTGAAGTACTTTACATCCTGCTGGGTAGCTGGTGGATTTCCCACCAGGATCAATAGTCTGATGATTCAACTGTGTTTGGTTTGATTCATCTGATTCTGAAAAGGAAATGAAGTTATCAAATACATGTAGTGCAGTAAAAAGTACAAGGTTGGTCTCTGACATGTAGTGAAGCCTAAGTATGAAGTGGGTTTACAGTAGCCTAAACATACACTGACTCGGTAGAATAATTGCAGTGAGGCTCATTTTATAGACTATGTAGCCAGTATTACAGTCCAGGTTTCAATAGCGTTCAAATACTCTACAAGATGGGCTACTGCATGTGGTTATAGTTGATTTCCCCTTACGGACTACTCTATTTATCAATCTAAAACCAAACAAACTGTAGCCTAATATGCATGATAAAAAGCAAACTATTACTGTGCTGGTTTAAATATCATCACAGAAAGAATTACCACCTGTCCTCTTCCCTTCTCTAACTATAGGCTTGAATGCTGGAAACGTATATAATCATATTTCCAACCTTCTATGAAGAGATGAACTCCTGGAGCAGGCCGGTGATGAGTGTTGTTGCTGATGTCAGGAAAGTGAAAATTAAGGAAACGGAGAGACAGATACTCGGTATAAGAAAGGAGGAGACGCCCACTCGTCAGCACACTCTGACCGAATTGTCCAGGGCCTGACAGAAAAATTCGTTTGTGCAGCTTCGCAAAGTAAGAGGTTCTAGAAGTCCGAACCAGTGGAGCGCCACAATATTTACACCATGTAGCAGTGACATCCTGTGTCAGTGACACCTCTTTCATGGGGCTGCCATCCACCCCTCTGAAAGAGGGGCTGCCAGATTACTCCGTCTCCATCAACTTCGTATCAGCGCGCACCCAAAACAAAAGCGCACGGCTCAAAACCGGAGGTCAACCGCTTCACTGAAACACAAAAGCATCCACACCAGGAAACAAACCATGCCCCAGCAAATGCGCTCTGGGTTATTTACACATTATAATGCTGTTTTAATCAGATTTAAGTGTGTATTAATGTATTTATTACCAACTATCTCCTCCTGTTATGGCCTCATGATGCTATAAACAGACAATAGATGGCAATAAAGCAAAACACTTTTGTAATAATATAAAATAAGTCCTTATGAAAACTGTTGTAATTATATACAGTATATATATGACTGAACATTTAGAATGTTCTTACCTGCCTAAAAACAACACAGGACTGTTATATTAAATGGTTATATATTACTTGCACTGTAAATGGGAGGAGGGTGTCAAAGTGTTGCCATAACTGTAGCTAGAAAACACATGAAAACCCATTGTCTACTGCAAATACCAGAGAGACTACTAGTCCTGCCACTCCTCAAACAGCCAGTTATTACTGGCACCATAAACCAGGCACAACCCACTAAAACCGTAACAGTGAACCTGGCAGTAGAAGATCACCACAGTCAGTAGGAGTCATCCTCTGAAGACCATGAAGGTCCACAGGATGTCATGGCAAACCATCCCACAGATGTTGAGACCTTTTTCATCTGGACCACATCCATGCACTGACCGACCACACAGCTAACAATAATAGATAAACAATGAATTAGGCACAACATAATGAACTAAGCTCAGATGCCTCGCTAACAGCTGAGTTAAGGGGCCAGTGCCTGTCATGTGGGTGTATAGCTTCAGAAACCCTGTCCTCCACATTTTACCAGCATCGGATCAGGGGAGGTCTGTGTCTGACCATTTAGGTTAACGCGCTCACAGCACAGAACTTTTTCATAAGACAAACTGTCCAGTCTGCATCAAAAGTCACAAGTGTTTTTGTCAGACCACACTGGAAGGCTGAGCAAGAGGCTGTCCACTTTGGGGAGAAGGTTATATCATTTAATATGAGGATATCATTGTGCATTTTCATTCACAGGAGGACGTTCATAGTTCATACAAAAACCTACACAAACAGTTGTGTTTAAACAAGCAGGATACATGCCCTGTTTGTTTAAACTGTTAATAATGCAGCATTCAAAGTGTTCATTGTGTTTCCTTTGGCTGCTGGTCAGGTCTGGATCAGAATCACGGTGGAGAGTACGCTGCATTCGAGGATGTGATTGAGAAGTTCGTCATTGCCCTCAGGGACTGTAGGATCACACCGTACGTTGTGCTGGATGGTGGCACAGACTGTACCGATAAGAAGCTTGAAACTTTGACGCAAAGAGCCAAGGATCGGATCATTAAAGCCCATCGAGCTGCAGCAGAGGGCAGCCAGGAGCGTATCCTGCCACTGCTGGCCAAGCTAGTGTTCAGACAGACACTGGACCGGCTGGAGGTTCCGGTGGCCCAGTGCTATGGCGAGGCTGACGAGCAGATTGCCACCCTGGCCAATGAGTGGCAGTGTCCAGTGCTTTCCAACGATAGTGACTTCTACATCTTCGAGCTCCCAGCAGGGCTGCTGCCTATTGATCATTTCAAGTGGGAGGCAGTGGAGCAGTGCGGCTCACAGAAGTACATTCCCTGTAAGAGCTACAACACCTCCAGCTTCTGCATCTTTTTTAATATTCAGCACCACCTCCTGCCCACCTTTGCCGCTTTGGCCGGGAACGACTACGTGAAACTGCAGAGGACCAGCTGGGCTCAGTTTGCCCCGGCAGGCAGAGAAAAACCAAACCGGCTGGAAGGCCTGCTCTGCTGGCTGAGGGACTTCCAGCAGCCTCGGGAGGCCCTGGAGGCAGCGCTGGGGCTGATGGGAGAACTGAGCAAGAAGAGCAAGGCTGAGGTGTTGCAGGGCTTGTCTCTGGGGATGGCGGAATACCAGATACCTCCCAGCAGCTACCTGAAGATGTTCTTTATCCACAAGGTGGTGCCTCCATTCCCAGCAGTGGAAAAAGTAAGAAACTCCTTTACCTTTTTTAAACTTCTTTTTCTGTGTGTGTGGGGGGGTCTTATCAAGGTCCACAGAATGACAGAAAAATTCGCTTGTGCAGCTTCGCAGAGTAAGAGGTTCTAGAAATACAGCAAACTAAATAACCAGCCACAGCAGCTCAGCTGCATGAGTGCAGTAATTAAGTAGCTATACTCAGTTGTTTGGTCCTGTCGTCCTGAAGACAGCAGGCCTTGTCCCACACTGGATGCTGCTGCCTCTGGCAGAGGCCCGGCTGTGTGGAGACATCCTAGATGTGCTGCAGCTGCGGAGGATGCCTCTCCCCACTCCTGTGGACCACGGCGACATGCCCAGCGCTTGCCTGACCTCCAGGCCCATCCGCCAGGTGATGTACGGGCTGCTGCTGGGCAAAGCAAAGCCACTTCAGGTGGAAGAGAGAGACAGAGAGGGCCTCGAGCTAAAATTCATCCTGGTCCAAAGGACTTATAAGGGGGTCATTCAGCGGCTGGACCTCAACTCACTGGATAAGGTGAAGATTTTAGGATTCATCCAAAGTGCATCATTTTCTTTACACGTTTCGTTGTCAAACAAGCTGCAAAACAGAACACCAAACAATTGTCCTCTCATAAATGACAGAACATGACCAGGGACTGCTCAACTTTCACCTCAAACATCACATTCCACTGGGCGTACATCACATTCCACTGGGCATTGCCACTGCTGACTGTGGTTTAGCTACATTAGTAATATGGCTAAACATAGTGATAACAGTCAAATGTAGACAATACAGTCAGATAAGCTCTTACCTGTGCTGCTGATTTAGCCTGTTTATATAAGACAGTGCACATTAATCAACACCAGTGTAAATGAGTGTTAATATGTCCCTGAGGGGTATAAATGAAGTTACAGTAACTTTCATGTCATTATTCTATATCTGCCCTTCTGCTGCCGTATGTCGGCCCAGGCGGACCCCTCTGAGCGTCTACAGGTGTTACTGGAGGCTCTGGGGGTGCCCGAGGCCTCTCTGAACAGCCTCCCACCTCAGCTGCGCCTCCCTGTGGCCGTCACCTGCTACTGGCTGCAGAGAGCTCAGCCTCCTCCAGACCAGATGATGCTGAAGGCGCTGCTGCTGGGACTAACTATTGTAGACACATGGAGACAACGAGCCGGTAATAAACACAAATACTTCATGATGCTTCAGTTTAGGGTCTTAACTGCACTTGTATAAAACAGAAAAACTGAGCAGCTCAAAGCACAGAATGCTTGGGCTTTTTTCTGGAAAAATGACCAAGCCATTGGTAAATGGCCTGCACTTATATAGTGCTATTCTACCTTACTGGACTGAACAAGCCCCTTCGTAGATTCACCCACACCAATGGTGGCGGCGCTGCCATGCAGGGTGCTGGTCTGGCCACTGGGAAAAACTTGGGGTTCTGTGTCTTGCCCACAGACACTTCGACATCTGGACTGGGGAAACTAGGCACTGAACTGTCAACGCTGCAATCCGAGGTCGACCTGCTCTACCCCTGAGCCACAGCCACCCACAGTTATTAAGCAATTAAAACAGTAGCCTTATTTTACAGGCCCCTTGTTTCTCAGCTAACTTCCTGGAAACAGTCCTGATGATTCCCTTAAAAATAGCTATTTTGTTGTTAATTACAAGAATATTTCCAGAAATGTTCGACACAGTTAAGCACTAAGTATAAGGGAAATGGAAGTGGTAGTTCTACAGTAGCTGTTCCTGTTGTAACCAGTGAATGAGGTTTGTGTTACGTGTCTTGCAGCTTTACACCCTGCTAATAAACAAAGGCTTGATGTGAATGTGGTTCATGCCTTCAACCAATGGCAGCTCTGCCTGAAGGACAGCATCCAACTGAACCAGGTTCTGGGCTACCCTCTACCTGAACCCCAGATTGCACGGTGAGGACAGCACATTAATTGGTGCTGCTGGTCTCTGGACAGGGTTTGTAGAAAGTCAAACATAAAATCACCAGCTGCATCTTTTAAGAATTTTTTTGAGGTAACTGACATTTTAAAATGTTTCCAGACCTGCAGATACCTTGTATTCCTTTACCAACAAGGGGAAATCTCTTGTTTCTCCGATGTTGTTGTTCAGGTTGTATGAGGGGACCTTCGTCCACCAGCTGGTCCATGTGATGAAGACAGGAGGAAGACTGGGGTCCCTTCTAAAGAGTGATCGATCCAGTGTGAAGCGGTACCAAACCATGGTGTTTATTGTCCACCAGTTTTATACTCAGGAGACCTCGAAATCCTCAGAGACCCAGAAGACAGCGACGGCCCCACAGCGGCAGCCTCTGGACGACCTGACTGCCGACCTGCAACAGATGTTCACTCTGCATGAGGATGAGGAGTTTGTGACTGAAGCAAACAGTGCGGTCACAGCGCTGGAGGATCTATCGCTACATGATCTAGTGTCGGTGAGAACTCGCTACAAAACCAAAGAGAGAAACAACCGGTGCAAAATCCCAGAAATGTCCCGCAAAGAGGAGTGCAGGGGCCTGGACATCATCTGAGGACTGGAAGTCCACCTCCAACTCGGACGTCTCAGAAATTCTCATAACTTCATTCCCAGTATAGATCAAAAAGTGTTGTGCTGTTTAAAAGCCACTATCAATGAGAAACCATTCAGGAAACATATATAGCTTATGGAATGACTGACCTTTTCTAAAAGCTCACTAAGAAATGGGAAGATCATTGGAAAAAAAATGGATATTATACTTGAATCTTTGAAATCTTAAAAACAAAACAAAACAGTATTTTAACTTGGAAATCTTTGTATAGCTTAAGGGTACATGGGACACTGTGCAAATGTAAATTATTTTATTCTGCCAGTAATTTAAAACTTAAAAATATTCACTTTACTATGATGGGAGACAAAAGCAGTAAATCATCATAATTAAGACTGAAACAGGAGGATTTTTAGTATTTGTTCTTGAAAAATTAAGCACCGGACCAATTCTCTTTTCGGATCAACAACCTAATTAATCTATTAACTGTTACATCTACTTTATATCCAATGTGATATAAAAAGTTGACATTTTGCAGGTCTGTCTAGCACACTTCTTTCAGCCAATCAGCCTTATGACTTTACATATATTCATGTTCATATCCAGATGTGCAGACATCTGTGGAACACATCAAAAGTAAAACAGTAGTGTTTCCAGTGTTGTAATACCCTTCTTTATGGTTTGTCTGTCATTTTCTGTAAGTGATTTTTGCTCCAACATAAAGATAACCATAATTAAAGTCCACTTTAAGTAATGGTTAAATCTGTTGTTGCTTTTTTTTTTTACAGATCTTATTCAACAGTGTTGAATCGAATGCTTCTGTAGTAAACACCTTGAAATCATCTGTACAGGGGACTCGCTGAGTGGTCCACTGACCCCTCACACCGTACAGTACGTGGTACTGGACTCTGTCTTCACATCACTGTGTCTCCAGATCACAGAGCAGAAACGTTAGCGGAGTCAACAGAACTGATGGAAACGCTACATGAATAAGACTTGGGTTGTTAATATCTCCGCTGTCATCGTGGTTAATTCTTAAAGCTTTTTACTGACATCACTACAGGCTCAGTGTGAGAAATAAAAACCTGGAGGAGGAAAGGAACACCTGAACTCCGTTGTATTTCCATTACCTAAAATCATCTTTTATTTCATGTTGGAAAAACATATTAAATACAACATTTGCACCAAAGTTTGGTCCTCCACATCAGTCACGTGCACAGTGCAACGTAAAAAAAGGATTTTATTATAGAAACAGCAGCAGAGTGAAGGTGTGTTTTCTCTTTTCTAATGATCATGTTTTAACCACTGCAAATTTACCTTTTGGAGAAAAAAAGATAAACATCTACAGATCTCAGCAATATGAAGCCAAGTAAACTACATTTCCCAGAAAGCACCACAACAGTGTAAAGCAATTAAAGGATGAGTAAATCCTCCTTTAATCGAGAAGTTTGACAAGCTGGGGAGATATTTTATTTCCCTGCAGCCGCCTTCACCGGCTGACCTTCAGACCAGCAGCTGGTCGGGTCCTCCGCCACAAACACGTCATAATATCAGGGGCGCACCGACACCAATCCCCCGCCGTCCCTTAGCTAAACACGTCTCCTCCTCTGCTCAGCCAGAATGAGCATAATGTAATGTTGCCTTAATGTGGCAACATTAACTTGTACCCCTTAGCTAAACACGTCTCCTCCTCTGATCAGCCAGCATGAGCTTAATGTAATGTTGCCTTAATGTGGCTTCAGTTAACTTGTACTAGTAGGGGTGGTGTGGGTGCATCCCTACTTCATACACAAGTGGGCAAGGGCGAAGAGCTTAAATATGACAGCAGTACAAGTAAAAGCAGAATTCCTTTTAATTTAAATAAATCAGTGTTTAGAAAGATGCATGAAACAATCAACAGACCACAGAAAGTTCCCAAGTCCACAGAGTGGAGGTGTAACAGTACAGCTGTTCCTCCTCACATGTCTGGTACAAACACCTAGGTCCCCTTCACACCAGTAGCTTGGTTCATTTGGCACGGACCAAAGAAAACAAAAAAGGTTGCATTTTAGTTCAGGTCTGGTTTAAGCTCCCATATACTATTAATATGGCTGCAGTCAGGGTTTAAAACCAGAGGTCAGGAGCCCCCAGACACACCTCAGCAGTTTTCACAAGTTCTGACCAGAAACCAACAGAACAACTCAGTAGTTCATATTTGATTCAACTGTTCACTGATGCTCCTGTAAATTATATCTCCCCACACAAAGATCTAAATTATGCAACAAATGCTGAAGCCGTTATTGACGTCTTATTTTGTAAACGCACTGAGGCTAGAATCACTGGAAGGCTTGTTGAATCCTGGACGAGCTGTTATTTTAGAAAAGCTTTGTTTCTTCACATGTGAGATCTGGGTTCCTGTTCTGTGTCACTGGTTTGACGGGGGCAGGATTTTTCTTAAATCAAAATATCAGAGCTGTTGGGCTGTTTATGTCACCAGTACTTTCAATCAAACACAGCCTGTCTGGGAGCCTGAACTGCCAGTAAATTAAAACTAAATCTCTTTATTCTCAAGACTTTAATGTTGATTGCTGCTATTCAGTCACACATATTTAACTTTATGAAGGAATACTTGTTTTAAAACCTTTGGCTTCCTTTGTACAGGGGGCTTGTACATAATATACTGTATTAGGTAGTGAAAAATAACAACTTTGGTATCTGTGCTGAACCTCAGTAAAAACATGTAGATGATGCCAACACCACTGTGAGACTCACAAGTTGTAGAGAACATGAAGCTTTAGAGGCACTAAATGTTAAACTAAATGTTTCTCTGCCCGAATCTCTACTTTACTTTTACTGAGAAAGACTTTATTTTCCTTCCTGTACCAAAAGCCAAAGAGAGACGAGATGTTTCTGTACCGTTACACCTCCACTGTGTGCTGTAAACCCTTCTCCAGAGGAACTAACACAGTTGTGTGCAGTCATCACCTTCCACCAAGAGAAGCTGATCTCCGCCTAACTGAAAGATTACAAAAGAAGACTGGAAGAGAATACAAAGAGGTGCACATGTCTCTAGACGTTGATTATCTTACAGTAGATCCTAAACACCGAGCCATGGTCAGTCCTTGGCGGTTTCCCCAAAGCTACAATGAGGCCGAGCATGGAGAGGGCACAAGCTGAATGGGACCCATGCTGCCAAGTTCGGTAGTAAAGACAGAGTACATGATCAGATCCCCCAGCAGCCATCTTGTCCAGCCCCCTCTAGGAGCGCCCTCCAGTCCCAGACCAGAGTTTCTCCACCCGTTTGATCTCACAGGAAGGTCCTTACAGTCAAAGTCAATGCCATCCTTTGTGAGATCCTAAAAACTATCATCTTCATTGTCCTCTTCCCCCAAACCGCTGAGTCCGTCGGCCCAGACAGTGTGGGTGGGTGGGGTCATACCTCGTGGAAGTCAGTAGGTGGGGTCTTCTCAGCTCCCCTCCACCTCTCCACCTTCTTTATGATCTCCAGCACTACGCAGACTGAGGAGGTGAGGCTGACCAGGAACAGCAGGTCTGCAGGACAAACACAGCACAGGGCTGAAGCTGCACTCTCCTGTCACACACTGCAGGACTACACATCAACTTGATTTTCATTGTCAATTAATCTGCGGACGATTATCTTCATTAATCACTTTGCCCATAAAACATCAGAAAACAGTGAAAGGTGACTAAAAGTTACTTTACTGGACCACAGCTTCCCTTTATAATGACATAAGACTCAGAAAAGCATCAAGTCATCACACCTGAGAAACCTTTTTCACTGCAATGTTCAGAATCTTTGCTTAAAACAGGACTCAATGAACTGATTATCAGAACAGGTGCAGATGAACTTTATGTCCATAAACTAACTGCTGCAGCTCTTAAATAGAGTTTCCTGCTTTATACTAAGAAGAAACGATGCAGCGTGTGTCAGTGCACATCTATCAAACTGTGACTTTAGGAAAGAGATTTTAATTAAAATGATAAAGTACTTATTGCGTCTGACAGTGCTGTAATCAATGCTCACTAAATGGGGAAATGAACTTCTAAACCAGTCAAGGCACAAAACTTAAAGACAGGATAAAACAACGTGCACTGACAGCGGTCTTCCTACACACCAACAGAGAGTAACATGTTTTCTCAAGGTACAAAAGCCAGTTCTTGTTTTGGGAGCTCTGCCTGGAGCTGCCTCATCATCACCTGGAATACATTTCTGTGGTCGGCAGTTGTGAGCAGCTCCATGTGCACTGTGGTACAACTTTGTAAATCTTTAGCCATGCTACTGGACTGGAATCTCAAAAGCTGTTGGATGTGATGAAGTGTGGTTCAGATGTTCATATTCCTGCCAAGATGAACTGTGAGAAGTCTGGTGACACTCTGACTTGTCCTCTAGCACCACCATTTAATCTGATATTGTGTTATGACCAAATACCTGCAAAACTAATGCCAGTTAGTAACATGGCCATAGACTCTTTTTGTCTCCTGAAATGAACTCAAAGTGTTTCACACTATTTCCCATTTGCACACAAGCACTCACACACCAGTGACATCACTGGGAGCATCTTGGGGTTCAGCATCTTGCTCAAGGACACTGGCAAAGCTGGGAATCAAACTGCCAACAATAGTAAAACATGTCCCGTATAACTTTCCCAAGTCCAAGGCAACGTCATAAAATATTCAGTTAACTGTGATGTGAAAACAGAAGAAATCCTCACACTGCTGGAATCCACACAGTAGTTTAAAGATTAATCGATTATCAGAATTGTTGCATATTTTTACACACTCAAATTTTTCCCAGAGTTCAAATGCAGCATCAGTAAACGTTAAAGCTGACTCTGCCAGTGATGGATAACAAAGCAGAGACAGCTCTGCTACCCTCAATAGGTACCACCTGCTCACAGTGGAGGTTGTGTCTGAGAATCTAAACAGTTGTTTTTTGTGAACTCTTCCTTCAACACTTACCAAGGATGCTGAGGCTCTCTGTCTGGAAGACGCTCTGCAGAGGAGGGGAGTAGATGACAAGGAGCTGGCCCATGATGGAGGCCAGGACAGCATAACAGAACATCCTGTTACTGCACAGCCCCATCTCATGGACCATACGAGTCTGAGAGCAACGACACAGCGTCACATTCATGAACAGTGGGAAAACAAAACATTTCTATCAATCTACAAAACCAAGTAAAAACTGAGGGCAAGTTTGGGGTTTGTAGCAACTAATCTGATCAGAGCTGCAACTAATGATCATGTGTTTTATACAGTGCCTTGCAAAAGTATTCAATTTTTCCACATTTGTCACATTACAACTACAAACTTCAAGATTTTTTACAAATAAAAATCTGAAAAGTGTGGTGTGCATATGTATTCGGCTCCTGAAAAGTGTGGCATGCATATGTATTCAGGCCCCTGAATACATTGTCAAAGCACCTTTTCGCTGCAATACTGAGTCAATACTTTGTCAAAGCACTTTTTGCTGCAATACCAGCTGCGAGTCTTTTGGGGTATGTCTACCAGCTTTGCACATCTAGAGACTGCAATTTTTGCCCATTCTTCTTTGGAAAGTAGCTCTAGTTCAGTCAGATTGGATGGAGAGCGTCTGTGAACAGCAATTTTCAAGTCTTGCCACAGATTCTCAATAGGATTTAGGTCTGGACTTTGACTGGGCCATTCTAACACATGAATATGCTTTGATCTAAACCATTCCATTGTAGCTCTGGCTGTATGTTTAGGGTCGTTGTCCTGCTGGAAAGTGAACCTCCGCCCCAGTTGCAAGTCTTTTGCTACTTCTAACAGGTTTTCTTCCAGGATTACCCTGTATTTAGCTCCATCCATCTTTCCATCAACTCTGACCAGCTTCCCTGTCCCTGCTGAAGAAAATAATCCCCACAGCATGATGCTGCTACCACCACGTTTCATGGTGGGGATGGTGTGTTCAGGTTGATGTACAGTGTTAGGTTTCCGCCACACATAGCGTTTTGCATGTATACCAAAAAGTTCAATTTTGGTCTCATCTGACCAGAGCACCTTCTTCCACATGTTTG